TCATACCCCATATACCATATACGAGTATGTATGTTCACGTATTTTTCTTAACAAACCATCTTGCAGAGAACTTATTCAATTTGCAAAAGCTGGAAAAAAAACATTTGCTTGTAAATAAATTCAAAATTTGTATGACTCACTTAATTTCAAACGTTTTTTCTTTTGTTTTGAAAAATTTTAACAATTAAATTGAGCGAAAACAAAAAGCAAAGCCAAATAAAAAGTGAAAGAATCAACATCGAAATGCGTCAAAATGAAAATAAGGGAGTTGTGAAGCAAAACTCTCTAGGAAGACAATACTTGGAATTATTGTACCATGGTTTGAAAACTACTTTTTTATTTAAAGTCACGTTTTTATTTTTTCTCTCTGACCGCAGGATTAATTTTGAAGGACTTTGTAATTTCAAAGATATGATTAATTCAAAAAAATTTAAAAAAATTCAATGCAATATAGAAAAAAAATATGGGTAACAAATCAATAGGAAATTTTTTTAGAATTTTAAAAATTTAAATTTTTTGGATCCACCAGGATGAATAGGTAATTTTTAAGCTGGCAAAGTTAGAAGAACGAAATTCGAACAAATATTGCGAAATTTCAAGGATAAAATTTTAAGATTATATTTTCACTATCTACGAGCCCTTCTGCACTAGAAACTTGAATATGTTTTAATTCTACAGGACTTCCTAATTAATTTTATACCCATACTTCTTCTCTAAGCACATTTCTCTGAATTTTTTTAATCATTTTTGAATTACTGACGTCAGATTGAAAAACTAAAAACGCAATTTTACTATATTTGGCCCATGGTTTCGCGAATATATTGATACTTGTGTTTAAAACTTACTAACGCGCGGTGTTATACATATGTACAATGAGGTAGACATTTATAAAAAAATATTAATTATTAAATAAAAAAGGAATATAGCCAATACTGGTCAAGAAAAGGAGTTTCTGTTATTGCCTTCAGTGCAAATTACAAATCCCGAAAATCCCAAGATTACTTGCCAAGAATCCCGGGATTTTCGAGGCCGTAGAAAGTCGGGCAACCCGGGATCCCGGGATTAAGATTCCTAGTGCATAGGCAACTGGCAGAGTCAGTGGGATCGTCGCACACTGTGCCCTTTTTCAATTTAAGCGTGCCAAAAATCCAAAATAAAATGATTTCAGATGGCCGTGATTTTTGGCATTCTGGTTGACAAATATTCGGCTGCTAAGTCCATCTAATAAATTCATAAGAAAAAACAACAACAACAAAAATAGTCAGTGTCAAACGTTGCTTATTGTGACGCGTAAAAATATAATTTTTTTAGCGTCAAGTTTTTCGCATATTTTAAAGTGGCAGTACTTTTTTGTGCAGTTTTTTCAAATAATTATTTATGCGTGGTTTAGTTTCAATGTTTTCTAATTTCTTTACTAAGTTTCCAAGCTGTAGTGAAGATTGATAATTTTCTATATATTTAAATAATAAATATTCCAAAAGTAATTGAGAAAACATTAAGATTTTTACTGGATCAGATCTTTCGAATGTGACTTCATCTAATCTGGTGTTTATATGCAAACTAATAAGGAATACATATTTCTACTTTTAGATTTCGTAAGCACTTTCTGCACAAGTCTGCACAATTTTTTGATTTTCATTAATAAACATGGCAGTCATCCGAAGCGCACTTTTTGACGAGTGGATTAAAGGCAAAAAAATATGATAATAATGGTGCTGTAATGAAATATATTTTGGATAAGGTGGGAGGGGACCTTGACCATGAATAATTAAAAGAGTTTATCGGTAAGATCTGTTGTCAATTTCGTTTAAAATTGGGCCGCTGCTTTCGTATGAATTCCCGTTTTCTGCAGCTGCACTCCAAACTAGTTGTCGCAAGGTGTGGATTTATCCGACTTTTTTCTTGACGTAACACCGTATTGACGTTACATCAATATCATAGGTACATCCATTTAATAGTTACGACTTTTGGCACGCTAAAATTGAAAAAGGGCACACTGTGCGTCGCACATAGGGGTATTGACAAAAGGGGTTTTGGGGTTTGACAAAATTTTGGAGAAAACTTAAAAAATTAGTCACTTTCGATAGAGAACATTCCAATTAACATTTCCCAACCCCCTCACTTTTCTAACTTGCACAGCGAACGCTCACCGTTGACCGGAAACAGAATATTCTAATGCTGCTTGTAAATAAATTTTCGCTCTCTAGAAAGATCGTCACGGTTTTAAGTTAATATTTTGATTTCTGCATTACATTCTTAAAAAGTAGTGATGGATCCGCATACAGATGGTAATAATGCATTTAAGGGTAATTTTTTTAACCATTTTATTAAGAAAAAGTTCAATTTAAATGTAACGAAAATAGCGGTTTTCAACGAGTATTTTTTTTAATTTTTGTGAATATTAAGGAATTTATTGTATCCCCGGGAGAGATCGCGTTATTATTCTTTGTTCAATTGAAAGCTTAGAAATTTGGCTAATAAAGTGTGAAAAGACTGCCCGCAGAAAATGGCAGACAAGTGGTATTTCTTAACTTAGAAATTGTATTAAGGAAAAATATAAAAACGCAACTAGTATATAGTAACACTACTCTAGATATGATTTAACACTAAAATTAAACTTTTTAGATGAATTTGAGGCCACTGAACTAGAATATGAATCCATTTAATTTAAAAAAATAAATAGTTTTCGAGATATAAGCAAAAGTCATGTTTTCTAGGACCTTTCGGTCCTGTTGCTAGAAATCTGGGGGAATGTAAGGCGAACCCAGCTATGTTATACATGTATTTCGGAATAAACATTTGTTTTCCTTTACATTGGTGTTATATAAGTGATGATTAAAGAAATAGTTTTGGGTATACAAGCGTTTAGATTTAGATAAATGTCAACTTATATAAATCTACGATATTTCAGTAAATATTGTATCCAAATTGTTAAAAATTAGTATGTAAAGTAAAATTTTGGAACAAAATATGATTATTATTAAATTTTTAGAAAATGGGTGTGGTCCCGCCCACTTATGACGAAATGCTGTATCTCAGTATCTGCTTCACTAATGCGTACCAAACTCGGTATGAGCCTTGCTTAGGCTATATCTAACATAACTGCTAAAAATTCTTGAAATCGGGCGATAACTACGCCCACTTCCCATATAACGGTAATTTAGAGAAACGCGAAAACTGCGATAAATCAATAACTACTGAAGTTAATTCAGTCTAAATCGATCCTTGGAATAACCTCTTAAAATTTAATAAAATTGTTATAACTTTTTGTGTAATGGGCGTGGCTCCGCGCACTTTTGACCACAAATGTATATCTCGGTTACCGATTTATCAATTTGTACCAAACTCGGTGCACTTGGTATGGAAAGAAATGCGTTGAAAATACGAAAACTCCGATATTTCAGTAATTGAGGACGCTAATTTACTCCAAGTTAATACTTACAAAATTCTCTTAACAATAAATAAGACAGTTATTATTACAAAAATGTAGTTTTATTACATTGGGTGCGTTCGGGCTACTAATAATAATTACCACAATATTGCAGACTTGTTGCTTTCCTGGTAACATGTTGCTGATGCTCAACTTAAACTTTTCTAAAATGTTGCAGAAATTGCGCAGTAAAAATTTGTATGTTGCTTTTGATTTGCCAATGATGAGTAACTGATTGTCTAAATTTTGTTCGCCCAAATTTTTGCGTAGAACGTGATACTCTTTCATAAAAGAGTACCACTGCCGCATTAATTGCACCTCGAATATACCCATTTCTTAGCTATACTGTGATACATATTTGAATTATTTAATTCCTTTAATTAAAGTTGAATTTGATTTTTATAACCCTGGAAGGTCCCTCAGAGATAAAGCCTTTTCAAACCCATTTCTATTGATACAAATATTGCAGCAATTTATTCAACTAATTGAACAAAATTGTTAACAGGTGGCAGGTGGTCTTTTCTAAACATTTCGAGTTGAAATATTCATAAAAATAATTTTGGCCGCATAAATCGGCTAAATACCACTATGTGCGTAGTGATGGCAAACAAAATTTTGTAATCGATTAATCGGTTAATTGATTAATCGAAAGCATTCGATTAATAATTGCAAATAATCGTAAGAAATTAACCGATTAATCTGTCATTTCGATTAAAATCGAAAATTAATAAAAACCACTTATAAGTTATAAAAACTGGCTTACATACCGTGTAAAAATTACGCACGACAAGATTTTTATTGTTTAATTTTAGTTATTTTTTTAAATATAGCTTATTCTTTAGGAAAAGAAACGTATAAATATAAATATATCGAACTTTGGGCAATATTAAAAAAAAAATCAACAAAAAATTCCAGCTTTTTAATTAGATTTCTTAGAAAGGTTTTCAGTATGCAAAATTCCAAGACTGAAGTATCTGGTATTTTTCTGTTTGGTAATGGTGTTGCTTAATTTCTTCCATATAAAAAAGAAGAAAATGAGCAACACCGAATTCGGAAAAAAAATAAAATATGTGAATACCTGGGTTGTGGTTTTTTAGTAGCTACTTAGGTTAAGCTTGTGTTGCGGTTTTTGGTGGAAATATCGTTTAAAAAATTTTCGATTATTTTGAAAAATTAATCGGTTAATCGCTCGATTAATCGAAAGGAAAGTTTCGATTCAATTAAATCATTAATCGTGCCATCACTATATGTGCGTCGGTTCGAAACCTACTGAAAAAGTCTGATGAGGAAACGTGGTGATTATTGAAATAGCTATCAGTTATACAATTTTTTCAAACAAAAAAAAAATATAAAAATTATTGTTGCTTGTCCACAATAGTTTTTTCATTTAAATCGGCCTCGAGCTCAATAAAAAATGTTGAACAAAAAAAAAGTTATGGAGAATTTGTATGTATATTTCCCTCCAACAGGATGAAGGGGGGTTGGAGGTTTAAATATCTTATCGCCTGAAACAGAAATACTTGATACTTACGAACTGACACTAAGCCAAATATTAATAAACAAGAAGCAATCATTTTAAAACTGTTTTCATTGCAGAATGTGTTTACAACTAATACTTTATCGCGATAAACGTAGTTTTTGGTATATAATTTTATTCATGTACATATATATTTGTCGAGCTGTAATACATACATATGTATGTATATATAGCACATATCTATATTCTACACATATAAAACAAACATAGCCGATATTGCAGCAAGAAATGCTAGAAAAGTAGATGCATATAATATGGCACAAGTCGTTTGCATCCAAGATATTAACGGGCCTATCGACAGTGAGATTACCAGCTGCGCTATGAACACCATGCTGCTAATGATCGCCACATCTGTACCCAAACCACGGGCCTGTTTGAGAGGAACTGATTCGCCATTATGCATGCGGAACTACAAAAATATAAACAACAATTAAAAGAATAAAGTTTGCAAATGATCGTAAGACTTAAATATAAGCAGAATGTACTGTAAAACACTTACACAATCCTTAGCATGATAATTAGCGACCAATATGTACGGGATTGTGAAAAGCGTGCCGTACAATATTCCTGCCGAAGTGCTGAAAACTATTACTCCCCATTTGGTGGGCCAGATGGCTAGTATCAACATCCCGATTCCATAGTATAATATGCCAGTAATATAAACAATTTTGGTCCTGCAATGAAGAAACAAAAAAGTTAATTCGATCAAATACAGTTATATATATTTGCCATAAATATGGCAGTTAGTCAATAGTTGCTCTCACCCTAATACCTTCCTCAGTTTGGTCACTGAAATTGAATAAATGGAGCAGGAAAGAGCATACACCGACATTCCCCAACAACCAAAGCGAATTCCAGCTTCATACAAGTTAGCTGCCGCCGTTCCAGGTAGGGCCTGTTAAAAAAATATCACTTTGAAACATTTATATATGTAAAAGCAATAAACACAAATACAGAATAAAGTATTTGTTTAATTGTTGTGCTTGGACAAAGATCAAAATAAATACAAATTAAAACACAAATAAAAACACAAGTATAATTAAAAATGTCAATACATATTCAATCTAGGTGCTCATTTGAATTAGCGTTTCATCCTAAAACATAAGATTACAAAAATTGCATCAAAAAATCTTCAAAATGAAGATATTCACTCATGCTGTAAAATGCATACATATATATCGCCGGTTTATACGAAAAAATAAAAAAATTAAGTCCAAGTTTTTCTAAGTGGTTAATAAAATAAAAAAAATCGCCACACCTAACGGCAAAATTTTTTGTTGAGTCGTCTCTTTCCTTTTAAGTATTAATAATAATAGATTGGCGCTTACACATATGTTAGTGTTTGGCCGAGCTTCTCCTTCAACTTGTGGCGTGCGCCTTGATATTATCACACAAAGCGGAGGGACCTACAGTTTTACGCCGACTCCGAACGGCGACTGTATTTTTATGAGAAGCTGTTTTTCATGGCAGAAATACACTCGGAGGTTTGCCATTGCCTGCCGAGGGACGACCGCTGTTAAGAAAGACCTTTTTTTCTAAATTTTTTGCGATGTTGCTTTGACCAGGGCTTGAACCCAGGTGCTGGTGAGTGAAAGCGCGCACTGCTTACCACTACACCACAGCGGTCGACAAAGTATTAAGTATTTAAGTATTATACGATCTAAATATACAACAAATCGACCATAAGTACCTACTGATTTTCCAAATATCTCGGCTTCTGCGCCATCAATGGGGCAAAATTTTGGAGTTATTCCCTTTTATGTAAGCAAAAGTTGACTCCGAAAAAAATTCGGAAAAAAACTTCGGCACCTCAGTCAGACTCAGGGAGTAAGAAATATGGGGAACACGCCAATTCAGGCACGGGACGATCATCAACGAAATATAATCACGATAAAAGACCTACCATATGATATCTACCGTCGGGTTCGAAAAGATACAGGTGAGAGTTCCAGAGACAATCTCTCTTTACACCCATCGCTCAAAGATGGACTGGAGGATCTCAGTGTCTCCTTGTCTATCTGTCTAGGGAATGAGGCAGGCATCTTCCAAGCGGAAGTCTTAGGCGTCTTTGAAGCTAAGGTAAAAATGCATCGGTAGAATTAAGAAAGCAACAATATACTCTGACAGCCAAGCGATCACTATATCCCAGCTATTCCAGGAAGGTAAACGGAATTATGATCAGTGTCTGCGCCAATAAGTCTAGGTTACCGGTCATAGGAACATTGAAGCCAATGAATTGGCGGAGCACGGAGCCTACTTCTAAGAATCCTATTCTGTTGCACTGAGATGTTGTCGTGTTCCTTTGTGAATGCCTAGGTCTAGCAGTTATTAGGCACAGAGCACTAAGAAGAAAAATACAAACAAAACAAGTAGATATATCTGGAGCTAGCAGAGGTGACATTGGCAAATTCATCGGAGAATCAAGATGTTTTGAGCAAGAAAACTAGATATGCATAGGTATTTTTGAAAGTGCATCAAAATGGCATAAAATGCGATAATTGTACCATAATAGCACTATGAAGCACTGCAACCAACCAACTAAATAAGACGGACTTTAGGACCTAAACACCTACAAAAAATTGCTAGACAAAATAGCGAAATAAACATTAATCTCTATAGTTGTAGTAACATTGAACCACAAGATGTCTTTAAGCGACTTACATATCGTCGTTTAAAGGTCAACACCGCGTAACTGACATTGGCTGCCAAAAATTGGATTTGCTCACACAAGCTCTTGGCTCAGTCCTTATCCATTCGTCCTGAAATATGCTAGCCAGAAATGCGATTGCTTTATTAAAAAAAGAGGACCATTTAGAAATATTAGTGTTTTTACGCTCTAGAAAAAAAGTTTTACAACTTCACATACGCGGTTTTGCATTTTGTTGATACGCGGTTTTGCACTTTAAACGACGATATGTATTTCCCGCGTAAACAAAGGACAGCGAACACCCACACGCATTTATATTGCATTTCCCGCATTAACCAAGTGCCGAGGAAACACACACACGCACTTGTATTGCACTCCCGCCCAAAACTAAGTGCAGCGAACAAACACATGCACTTGTGATTAAAAATAATTCGCTCGTTCTTCATTGGGTATGCATTTTTTTATGCACTTCTCAACTGCCGCAGAACAACGCCTACTAACTACGCTTGATGCATCACAACTCCTCCGGAGTTGTCTCACGGGGTTCTGTATGGCTTTCGGCATACAGAGGTGGTACAAGAGTTACCATTGGTCACAGCGCCTACCCTATTTTCCAACTTGGATACATAACCGATGCTCAACACTCCCGCTTGACGCACACTCCCAAAAACTCTTACAGAGTTTTTAAGCGGCAAAGCCACAGCGCACCGACGCTCCAGCTCTGAAAGTATTCAACTCGGAACCCGCTGGTAGTAGCAGAGGAAGAGGGAGGAGAAGAAGAAGAAAGCCACAGCGCTATAAGCCGTAGGGACTCTGCATGACTTACAACCATGCAGAGGTGGTAACTGATGGTTGTCATTGGCCCCGCCGCCTACTGAAAACATTTTTAATTGAATAAATTTTTATGTTAATAAATTCATCCTAGTCCTGCCCTCTCCCTGAGTTAATCAAGATGCATTTTGAAATTTTCTGGCAGCATATTCATTCGATTTTCGCGAAGAAAGCTTTGAATGTACTAAGTGTGCGCTCGACGTGAGTTGATACAAATGGCGCCCAATTTAAACATGGAACGTTTAAAACTTTCTTTCCGGTGACGGGTAATAAGATCAACGGAAATAAGGTCAGTTGACTTTATTTCCCACCATGGTGAATTTAATGAGTTTAGTAAATTCGTTGATATTCTGAAAATGAGGAGTATTGGATAAAACTCATTAAATTCAACAGACGACTTTTCGGTGACAAATAAAGATTTTTTAAAGCATCAAAATGAATTTTGGAGAGGAGGAGTAGTACTTTTGGATAACGAGAGGATCTTTCTGAAAAAAAAATAAATTTCATCGTGTTACAGGAGCTCAAATGTGCCCAAAAACCGTGATTTTTGTACTTTTAGGTTAGAATATCTCGAAAACCTGACGTGATTGGGCTATTCTGTGATCAGACTCGAATTCAGCACGTCAAACGCCTTCGGAAAAGTATAGTCCGATTCTTGGTTAGAAAACCTTGTTGCCCGGTGTTATTTTTCGATTGATTTTGTATACAACTCTAATTCATAATTTAACAAACACAATATCGCTAGCTTAGAGTGAAAAGTTGCTAAGTCCACTTTTTATGAAAACTCATATTTTGATATAGGAGGCTAGAAAAATTGAATACGCATCGTTTCGAAAATTAAAAAGGTACTTGTTTTGTTTTTTCCTCTTCATAAGCAATAAAAGGAAAATTTGCTAAGTCCAAAAGAAGCAGCACAAATCCGATAAAGCCAAAATAATACGACATCTTTTAATAAATATTGAATACTTCTGATTCTTATGGAGTTTTGCTTTGCTTTAAACGCGCAAAATGTTTGATTCAAAGTCTTGCGAAATAGTCAAAGAAAATGGCTATAGGAAGATTTCTTCCTATCCTGTAAAATTTTTAAAATGGGACTTAGCAACTTTTCTTTCTAAGCTAGCGATATATGTACACAAATCGGCATTTCAAATTGTGTACAAAAATTATAAAAATTCAGCAGGTTTTCGCAACAACAAACTTTGGATTCAGAATTTTTAGGGAGATTCCAGGTTTTCGATTTTATGCATTTTTTCCATGTAAAGGGTGTTCGAATATTTTTTAAATGAATGAAAATGTATGACACTGTCAGAAAAAAAATATCAAAAATCATAGGGATATTGCAGAAGCTTGCACTTTTATTTAATGGACTATAAAACTACAAACTTAGAATCTTCCTAAAAGTTCTGAATTAAAAGCTTGTTGTGCGACAATTTACTTCATTCTACATTACTATTCACAATAAAATTCAGCGGTTTGTAAATATTTCTCACGGCCTTATTTTAAATTTTTTTTGCTTTTAGTTTTCACTTTTTGTAATTATTTAATCTACAATGTGGTATGTGATTTTTAGTTATATATAGGTATTTTATGCTAAATTTCTATATTTTATAATTGTGCCAAAACAGGATGAATTGTGCCAAAAGTGCCTTTAAAAATGGAAAGTGCCCAATATGGCCCTATTGTGTCTACTACGTGCGTGGCTACGCGGATTCTGCAGAAATTTACAATGTTCTTATTTTTCGCCTAAAAATTATTGTAAATATCAATTTTGAGTAAATCAGCTACAGTAGTTACTAAAATATCGCAGTTTTCGTCTTTCTTAAAACTACCGTTATACGGGAGGTAGGCGTGGTTATTGTCCGATTTTGCCCATTTTCAATATCATTCATCCTACGCCCGAAAGAAGTACACTTACCAAGTTTCACTAAGATGTCTCGAGTTTTACTCAAGCCATCGTGTGCACAGACGGACGGACGGACAGACAGTCACCGCTTAATCGATTTCTCTTTTCATTCTGATCATTTATGTATACATTTGTCTATATCTATCTCGATTCGTTTTGCCTGTTACAAACAACCGTTATGCACATGTGCGCTTGGGTATGAAAATCGACTTTGCAAACTGACCCAAAAAATAATATAAAATGATCAATTTTTATTCAAACTTCAAGATCATTTTTTTTTGCATTGCATTTCATTGATAAAATTAAAACTTTTAACTATGTTTTTAGTTTACCATGTAAAATCTGCCACAAATTGGTTAGAAATCATATTTGTTGTCCAGCTTGACAATTTTTCAACTATAAGTGACAATACAAAAATATTAATTTTTAAATTAGGGATTTGAAAAACAATTAAAGTGGTTTAAAAATATTTGTACCAAAAGATCTTCAAGATCTGCTGCAACTTCTTTTCCCG